ACGACAACATGTCACTTTTGTAAGGAACGAGCTGAGCCTCCAACAAAGCTCTGTAAGTACAGAGATAGTTGGATTTATATATCATAATTTAAATACTCTGCTGTATTTTCAATGTACTGCTTTTTAATAAGTGTATTATTGTCTCTACAGACTGAGTGGCTGTAACCTCTCAGAGAGAAGCTGTGAAGCTCTGTCTTCAGTTCTCAGCTCCCAGTCCTCTAATCTGAGAGAGCTGGACCTGAGTAACAACAACCTGATGCGTTCAGGAGTGAAGCTGATGTCTGCTGGACTAAAGAGTCCACACTGCACACTGGAAACTCTCAGGTGAGATCAAGTTAGTTTGTTATCAGTTATTTGAAATGTTTCTCTAAACTGTCAGCTCCATGAAGTGAAAACAGCCTCTTCCATGTTAATTCTGAATCTCTGAATCTGTTCAGATTTGAACCGATTTCCAGCATTATTATCAAAGAGGATTACATTTGAACACAAATGTTATTTGTCTTCTTGTTAATTACTGTCTCTTCAGACTGAGTGGCTGTAACCTCTCAGAGTGGAGCTGTGGAGCCCTGTCTTCAGTTCTCAGCTCCCAGTTCTCTACTTTGAGAGACCTGGACCTGGGTTACAACAAACTGACGGATTTAGGAGTGAGGCAGCTGTCGGCTGGTCTAGAGAGTTCAAACTGTACGCTGGAAACTCTCAGGTCAGATCAAATTACAGTTTGTCTTATTATTTCAGATAGTTCTTTCACTGATTTCTCTAATCTTAAACAGCTCCTCTCTTGTCATTATCTCTGAATCTCAATAATGTTCATAAGTGTTGTTGTTAACAAGTTATGTTAATTATTTTCTAATACCACACAGAGGGCAACCATTTACTGCATACTGCCATTAGGAACTGAGTACAATAAGCTACAAATTAGTAATCATTACAAACATTATTAAACCATAAATAATAAATAATAAACCAGTAACTAACAGCAGTCAACATCAGACAACCTTATCATACTTTATTTTACCTAGTGTTTCTACGGTTAGCATTTTATTTTTCTTGGCAAATGTGCTCCAAAGCTCTTCTAAAAGGGAATTTGGTGTTGGGGGGGGGCCATTTAATGTCTGTCTCTCCTTAAAGTCCCTGTAAAAGAAAAAGTGTTCAGTCTGTCACAGCTAGTGTGAGCCAAGACAGTGCTGCAGATACAGCTAGAATACATCACCGCATAACCACCATCAAGCTTAATGTTACATTTGTCTTATTTGCAAACTAAACACTGGACACGTAGGTAGTAATGACATGCAGCTAGGTCAACGTTACATAGCAGTTGAGAAATTACAGAGTCTTTCCTTGGTCTTGAGACACACTGTAGTCTATTCTGCACATTTACTGCCACATTGACAATTTACTGCTAATCTGTTCCTGTGCTACACTTGAATTCCCAAGTTAAAATCATTAGTAGCCCATTTATATTAATGATCTTGTGAAATTTTAGGGGCAGCGTTCTGATCATGGGAATGACAGGTAAATAGTTTAAAAAATGTAAGATTTCTCACTAAAATAAATGTTGGTGGATCAGATAAACGCCAAAAATATTCTCTGACTTATAACACTGTTAACTGACCGTCTATAGTGTGTATGACAGTGTTGAGGAGTTCTTTCTGCCATTACCAAAGTAAACCTGGTTTGCCTCCTGTTTGGTGCTGGAGTGAGCGCACCCACCTTTACAACAATAGTTTCATGACCACCTTAGATGTTTTGATTAACTGCAAGGATTTTAGCCAACAAAAACATTTAGATTTCCAATCTAACTTTCAGTCACTGAAAATAAGTTTCTTATTTTATATTTTTTTTGTTTTTTGTTTTTGTAGTGCAGGTCAGAGCTCAAGTCTTTGTTCTTCCAGATTCTACTTTAGACCAGACTCATTACATTTGAACAATAATGATATTTTTGTTCTTGTTGATCATTATATTTCCAGACTGAGTGGCTGTAACCTCTCAAAGAGAAGCTGTGAAGCTCTGTCTTCAGTTCTCAGCTCCCAGTCCTCTAGTCTGAGAGA